CAGGTGTTTTGGACTTCAGCTCCTAGAATTCCTAACAGATGGCCAAGCTGGTCAGGACTTATGGGACATGAAGTCCCAAACTCTCGGAAGACCAACAGTTTGGAACTCTAGTCCATTACTTCACTTTCTTGGCAATTAAGAAGTGCCCCCAACATAAGTTCTGTCCTCCTTCCAAGTTCCACATTCATGAGTAGTAGGTGAGGGATGGAATACAACTCTTGTGTGAGGAGAGGTGGGTGGCTAATGCACCTTGCATAATGACCATCATCAAATTTGCTGAATCTGAGCGTAGAATTCCCTTGCGCTCCTTTGCTTGCTCTCTTTCTTTCTCTCTCTCTCCACATCACCTCCTACCCTGTCAGTTTCCAATTTGTAGAACGAAAGATTTGAACAGCGAAGGGAAAGAACAAGGTCATCTCAGGGAATCTGTGGCGGCCAAGTCTTGACTCTTCCAGAGATTAGAATAACATGTTCTCTGTTTTTTTTTTCTTTTCTTGACCTTGTGCCCACCATCAGATAAACACAAGTACACACACATACACCTACCTATCTTTTCCTTTCCTTCTTCTCACCCCTGCTGGATTCCCCATCTGTTACTATAATATGCTCCCTCACACATTTAAAGCAAAGAGAGTGTGTGAGAGAGGGCTATTCTTGTACAGACCAAAAGACGGGTCGCTAAATTCCTTGGCTGGGTGGGTGGTGTGGTTTGCCAAGCAGTGGGGGCGACAAGAGTCCCAGACTTTTCTAACAAGACCCTAGTAATCTGAAGGATGTGGGGCCTTGGGGGTTTGGGGAGAAGAGAGGTTCAGAAAGCGATTGAGAAGCAATTGGCTGGTTCTGCTTTTTCTGTCTTCTCCCTTCAGTCTCTATGTGACCTGGCATAATCTCACCCCCCCCCCCATCCCAAAACCACCATAATAATTGCAGAAACAAATATATAAATAATATAATTTCTATCTCCCATGAATTATGCCTACATCCCCCTTTTCTCTGCACCATCCATCCCAGGAGTAAAAATTCATTATTTTTACCAAAATGATTTGGGACTCCCAGAGCTGCAATGAGAAGGACTCATATAGCCTCTTCCTCATTAATAAGGAATCTGGGGGCAAAGGGGAGGAAAAAATGAATGTAAAATGGGGTGGCAAGGCAGAGGAGAAGATATCAACCAGCATTTTCCCCAAAGCTAGAAATATGATGTGGGGCACAACTGAGGTGCTGGAAGTGGGCCACAAATGTTACAAGGTTTCTAGGCAGCTCTTTCCTTTGGGACCTCAAAATACCTCCTTCTCATCTGTGCCCCACACCACTTGAAAAAAACCCTAAAGCCAGGATGGGAAAAACAATTCCATGTATCTCAGTGTTTTCTATTAATGTATATACCCAATTGTTTGTTCTCTTACTCCTGTGCTCTCTGCACTTTTTAAGATCTCCTTCTCCTCCAATTCTCTCTCTCCCCCCCCCCCCCCCCCCCCCCCCCCCCAATTTCCTGGGCACCGCACTGCGCTTCAAAAGAGATTCTATGGTTTCTGTGCAGAAAGTGCTGACGGGATGGGAATTCTGTGCAGTGCAGAGATCCAGCGAGTAGCAAAGAAAGCAGTGATATTGCCTTGTGGAAAGAGCTGGGGATGCAGTGTGTGTACGTGTGTGTTTGTGTGCCTGGCAATGGGGATATGTTCTTGGTTGTTCGGTTGTGTACGATGTCGTGAGAGCAAGGCAGTGTGTGCACACAGAGCTGTATTGTCTCTGCATAGAGCTGTATTATCTCTGTGTCACTACATGCATACTCAGTGAGCCCATAGGCATGAACAGGATTATGCACCTCTCTATGTAAAATGTCTTGTGGTCTGGAAAAGTTGTATGAAATGCCAGACATGAGTCACTCTCTCTCTCTCTCTCTCATATATATATGTGTGTGTGTGTGTGCGTGTGCGTGCGTGTTGTGTGTCTGCATATATAAATGTTGCACCCGGAAAAAATATGTGTACCAACAAACAATACACCTTGAATGTGCTTATGTATTTCTGGTGTTTGCATGCAAGTGTTTGCATGCAAGCCTTATGTAGGACTTTGGTTGCAGTCCAGTCTGCAATTAAGCCAGTTGAAATCTTATTGAAATCTATAGATATAAACCCATGAAACAATTAGTTCGTGCTCTATCTAGATTTTAATGCTCATGCTGGAAGTGTGTATGCATCCCCTCCACATGCATGCGCACACAACTAGAGTGATACAATTTTGTATCAAGTTGAGACTGGAGTGAGGTCATGGGAATGCACATCTATGTGATTTCATCTTCAAGTTCACACAAGCAATGTGTATCCAGAAAGCTTCTGAAATTACATAGCATGGATTAGTAGAGGAAATAGGTTGAAAAGTCCATGGCTTGTTGTGAATGGATAAAACCTGGTACAGCAATGAGTACATGTATACATATCTATATGTATTTAGGCAAATTCAGAAGTTCAGAGGCTCAGTTATGACTGTGTACGTGTGTGTATTTACATGCAAAGGGATGCTTACACAACTAGAGGTAGTTATGTGTACATATGAGCCTGGCAGTGCTTTCTTGTGTGCATCAACACAACATGTGTGAGAAGGCAGTACTCTAAGAGCACATGCAGGTGTGTTTGTGTGCATGTTTTTTTAAATTTTTCAGTTTGGATATGTGGCTTAATGTCTGAAGGACTGCACGTGCTTTGAATGCAATTTTCCTGCTTCTTGGCAGGGGGTTGGACTGGATGGCCCACAAGGTCTCTTCCAACTCTATGATTCTGTGATATGTAAGGATCCTATCCTTGTAGCCAATTGAAGGATTTTGCATATAATTTCAAAGCATTTTGTGGTGATGTAGCTATATGTGTATCTCAAAGCTCTTCCTGCTCAATCTATTTGTGTGTGTGTCTGTGTGTGTGCATTTGTGTGCACAGTGGGAATGTAAATGAATACTGAATCCCTTGTGGTATGCATGGGTGCAGGCAGCACATGACAATTTGCGTCATTGCTTTCTTTCATGGGGTTTAAAAATGTGCTGAAGCATAGGAATGATTTAACAAGAAAGTGTCTTGATGCAAGCATCCACATGTTTCTTAAGCTTCTGCTTGAAATCTTGGAAGCATTTTTCTCTTTTTAGTAACAGCTCCCAGAATCCTCCAAAGCTGTGAGATTTGTGGGATTGTAGGTCCTGGCTTCTTCTCAAGCCATCATGTTATTTATGGCCCTAGCCATCAGCTAACGCAGCATTTTGCCTCATTCACACTACATAATTCTTGTGCTACTATTCCACTTCAGTGGGCATTGTTCCATCCAATGGAATACTAGGATTGGCATATTTTGGGTTCTTAGCCTTTCCACACTACAAATCCCAGGATTCCATAGGATGCAGCCATGGCAGTTAAAGTGGAATAATAGCACTATCATCCTGTAATGTGAATGAGCCCTAGATCACTCAGATCCAAAGTCTCTTAATAATCATGCTAGATCAGTGGTTCTCAACCTGGGGCCCCCAGATGTTTTTGGCCTTCAACTCCCAGAAATCCTAACAGCTGGTAAACTGGCTGGGATTTCTAGAAGTTGTAGGCCAAAAACATCTGGGGACCCCAGGTTGAGAACCACGGAGCTAGATGGTGTAGTGGCCTGCTTGATTGGGTGTTAATTCATAAAATTGCCATACACTTTCAGAAACCCTACTCAGAAAAGTTAATAAACTTTGCTGGACTCCTTCAGATGTTTGACCATCTATTCTCCAGCCACATAAATACAGAAAAAAAATGATATGATGGGTGGAACTATAGGTGTAAGGGTACCTTTCCGGAATGTCCCAGTTGCTTACTTTAAAACAAAACCCCACAAGAAGGAAAGTAGGATTTCAGTAGCCGGGCTGCTTTTATTTATTTATTTATTTATTTATTTATTTATTTCTGATATTTTTATCCCGTTCCTTCTCAACCCCCGAAGGGGGACTCAGGACGGCTTACATTTGGCAGATGCCACTACATATAACAGAGCAATATAATAACAATTAAAACAATAAGTAAAACATTCATTAAAACAGTAAAAAACAGTATTAATAGTATTAAAATTCTTGTTGTCTTGTTTCCAACTTATGATAAACCTAAGGCGATCATATCATGGGGTTTTCTTCTGGGGGGAGTGTGACTTCTTTAAAGTCACCAGTGTATTTCCATGGCTAAGTGAGGTCCTGATAGGGAGTTATTTATTTTTTAATTCATGGGAACTTATTGATGGATCCAAATATTTGTAGGGCACAACCCACTTTACCACCTTGAGCTATAGCTTTGCCCAAATACTTTATACCTATTGAGATAAGTTGTAGAGAAGAAAGGAGAAAGGGAAATAGGTCTTTCACTACCTGTCTGTAGCACAATTTGTGGTTCTCATAGGAGAGCATTTGATGCTCTACAGTGAATTTTTCCCAAGTTTGGTGCCCTCTAGACTCATTGGAGGACAAATCCCATCATTCCTAGACAGAGTGGCTATTGGGAATACTAGGAGTTACCCAGTGTACTTCATACCATGTAACTGTTCTGATTAACCCTCTATTGTCACATTTATTATGTTGGTTTCTCTTTCTCCCACTTTCCCCTTTCTACTGCAGCTTACTTTGATTGCTGCAAACTGACTTCAAAATGCAAAAGTAGTTTTCACTCTATTAACTGAGCAAACTGCACACAGTTTCCTAACTTGGGTGTTTTTCTTTAACTAAGCTTGCTGTCTTGACTATACTCTGATATATCATGGCCACACATGTCCTGGTTTTCACCTGAGAGATGGTGGAGGTTATGATATGTTAAGAGCACCAGATTGAGGAAGGCTACTGCCAAGAAAGTTGTTCTCTTTCTGGAATATTAGATGATGAATGAGTACTAATGGTTTTCTTTTCATTTTTCCCTCTTACATCTTCTTCCCTCTTATTCCTACTGTTCCTCTCTCACTACTTCCTCCCCGAAAATGTTCCTTCTTCTACCTCTCTCTAGTATGTGGCCTTTGCCTCCCTCTTCTTCATCCTCATCTCCATCACTACCTTCTGCCTGGAGACCCATGAGGCTTTCAATCACATCGTAAACAAAACAGAGATCTTGCAAACGGGCAATGTCACCAACACCAAGATAGACCTCGAGGTGGAAACGGAACCCTTCCTCACCTATGTGGAAGGGATGTGTGTAATCTGGTTCACCTTTGAGTTCTTTATGCGTGTCCTGTTTTGCCCAGACAAGATGGAATTCATCAAGAGCACCCTCAACATCATCGACTTTGTGGCCATCTTGCCCTTCTACCTAGAGGTTGGCCTCAGTGGCCTCTCATCCAAAGCGGCCAAGGATGTGTTGGGCTTCTTGAGGGTGGTCAGGTTTGTCCGGATCCTAAGGATCTTCAAGCTCACCAGGCATTTTGTAGGGCTGAGAGTCCTCGGCCACACTTTGAGGGCCAGTACAAATGAGTTCTTGCTCCTCATCATCTTCTTGGCCCTGGGGGTCTTGATCTTTGCCACCATGATCTACTATGCTGAGAGGATTGGGGCTGATCCAGATGACATCACCGGCAGCAAGCATACGGTCTTCAAGAACATCCCCATTGGGTTCTGGTGGGCAGTAGTGACTATGACGACTTTGGGCTATGGTGACATGTATCCCGAGACTTGGTCAGGCATGTTGGTGGGAGCCTTGTGCGCCTTGGCCGGTGTGTTGACCATTGCCATGCCTGTGCCAGTCATCGTCAACAACTTTGGCATGTATTATTCCCTGGCTATGGCCAAGCAGAAACTACCAAAGAAAAAGAACAAGCACATCCCACGAGCCCCTCAGCCTGGGTCGCCCAATTACTGCAAGCCGGACATGCAGTCTCCACATCGTAGCAACCAGGGTGACTCGTGCCCCCTTGCTCAAGAGGAGATCATTGAGATCAACAGGGCAGGTAAGGAGTCTCTCTGTGGGCAGAAAAAAATGAGTAAGAATTCTGACAGAGTTTGGGACAGGTTTCCTTGGGGATTCTGGATATTAAAAGGTAACTTATTCAAGTTGTGAATATGGTCTACCTGGCTCAGGTACTTGCTGGGATCCTGCATCAAGATATAGTTGTCTGTTACATAGCTGGAAGTTAAGCACAGAATTGCCCTGGAAGACCTAGAGATTCCTAGAAAACATGTTATTATTGTTGTTATTATTATTATTATTATTATTATTATTATTATTATTATTAAAATATTTTTAATTTATTTTTGTCCCTCCTTTTGGGTCAAGAAGGGCATTGCATATTAAGCAAGTTCACAAATAATCAAACCCTGCAGTTGGAAAGCCAATATTCTAATCCTGCCATCCTCAGTATGCCATCTTCTAAACAAGTTTGGACTAACATTCCCACCACCCTCAGCCAGCAAAGATATGCTGCCTGGGTATGATGAGAACTGGAGCTAAACATGTCTGGAAAACAAGGAACCTGTTCTAGTCTGAATTCAATCCTTACAGTAATACTTTAGCTAATTTATCCCTGTTGCCTCTGGCAATGATAAACATACGTAATTAGGAACCTAGGTGATCAACATTTTCATAATTCCAAATGATATGTCCTTGGAAACATGAAGTATATTTTTTTCTCATAGTTTAATTTCCCCTCATTATTGTCAGAGATTTTTTTGTATCAGAAGCTTTTTCTTCTTACCTACTGTCCTCACCACACTGTAATCTATGCCACAGATTTTAAATCTGATAGATTTAGTCAAAGAAGGCTAGGAGAGGATGAGGAACGATACCTTCAAAGAGAGAGGAGGACTGTTTTGCAGTATGTTTTCCTCTCAATTGTATCTCTTCCTACAGTAGTACGCAAAGCAATCAAGTATGCAATAATCAAGGGAAGGCAACTCACATTATACTTTGGGTATTTTGTCTCCATCCTTTCATGAGTGTCCTGCTTAAGTGCTATAGATGGAGCTGCATAATTCAAAATCTCAAGAATCTGATTTCTATATTTTAAAGGCAACTTTTAGCGTAAGCCAGAATCAAGGCTACGTAGTATTTCCAGTGACCTAGGGATGATTTTTTTTGTTACCTCATCCCTTTCTTCATCTTTTTAAAAGAAAAAAGATGAATAAATATAAATTAAGCAATGTAAATCAGGAAGATCCACTTTTTATGCAGAATTCTAATTTGTTTAATCCAGATTTACTCATGACAATCCATCAATAATACGACAGGTGCATCCTCCTTTCTTCACTCAGTATGTCAGGGAATTTTGATACTACTGTTTTTCATTTGGCTGAAGTTACACTTTAAAATGTACCTGTTCTGACTTGCATACAAATTCAACTTAAGAACAAACCTACATAACATCTCTTGTTTATAACTTTGGGACTGCCTATACTTGTTCCAAAGTTTCTAACTGGATCCTACTTCACTGATGTTATTTCAGAGCATAGCTTGACTGCAGGCAAGCAAACCCCATTCAATATTTTGATTTCTAAATGTTAGTCTTTCTGGTGGATTGTGTCCCATAGGTCAGATCGGCCCATCTTCCCTGTTGCCACAAAATATGGCATGCAAATTTGTTCCAGTGAAACTGTTATTTCAAATTCCCTCATAGCACTGCTGCATTTCAAAGTTTGGGAAAGTTGTAGCAGTAATTATTTGAATGAAGACTTTCAGAATCCCCTGGCCAGCATGGGAACTATAGTTCAAACAAGTAATTTTCCCAATTTCTATGTTGAATTGGGTCCAAGTTTGTAATTTATCCCCTGACAGGAAAAAAGCAAGTGTAGGCGTAGGACTAAGTTTTGATTTAGGACAGGGAAATTCCCGGTGAATTTATTTAATGGCTCTTGGCAGGAGTTAGTTATTTTAAGAGGAATGATTTGGCTACACCACAGGCCCTAAACACTACAACTCTACTTTTTGCTGAGTACATAGTACTGTGCTGAATCTCACAATGGTAAGATATGAGAGGCAATGAGGTCATAACCTAACATAGCTGGGAAATCCTCTGTTGGGACTTAGAACAGCAGTGATCAAATCTTTCCTCACCCTAAAGCTACTGAAAGAATAGGGCAGAGGCTAAGACCCTGTATCGTTTACTTAGAGTGCATTTGTACTGTAGAATTAATGTAGTCTGATACCACTTTAATTCTACAGTATTGATGCACCCCTAGTAACCTTACAAAATATTCTTCAAACATGATCCCAGTGGTTCCCTACCTTTGGGCCTCCAGGTGTTTTGGACTTCAGCTTCCACAGTTCCTAATAGCTGGTAAGCTAGCTGGGATTTCTGGGAGTTGAAGTTCAAAACACCTGGAGGCCCAAAGGTTGGCAACCACTGCATGATCCCCATCAGAATGGACCTCCTACCCATGAAGCTGAAACCCTCAAAACAGATTGTAGGATGGAGTTAAGATCAGAGCAATACTATCACCAAACAACACATCCTAGGATTCCATAGCATTGCACCATGGCAGTTAAAGTGATGTCACACTGCATCAGTTCTACCATGTAGATGTACCCTCAGTGTGCTTTGCAACATATGGACAGAGAAGTTGGTATTAGACCAAGGGATACTGGCAAGATTCTGTGAGAACACTTGAGTTCGGATGCCACGGATGTTCATTTCTGCCTTCATTCCAGTTTCCTCCTTTATGTTTAAGATGAGGTGCAAATATCTTCCTTGCAATTCATTGCAAAAATCCCTGACTTAGCTTTTATTTAGAACAAGGCTACCTAGGGTAGCCCATCTTGGCTGTGGATTAAGTTTGTCCTTCCAGGATGACTCATGCTAACATCGGGCTCATTTTGGCAATTTGAGTCACTTTTGATTAAGAATTATTATTTTCTTCGGAGGAGGAGGATCGGGGGATGGAGAGGAGAAGGAGGTAAGGTTGGCAGCCGTACCAAGATTTAGGTGATTTAAGAGCACTGGAACCTTTTACTTTGATTTACACTTAGAATTGATCCACTAGTGGTTTGTGGGGAAAGGGGTTGAATCAGGAGGGAGGAGTGTTTGCCAAAATTTAGGTCGTCCTCCTAATCCCTCTTCTTTCTGAGAGGAACAGGACACGTCTAGAGACTGCTTGGCATTGCTTGCTCTTCTAAGATCCAAAATACACATCGGTGATAGCTTTACGAGGCAAATCAGAAGGCATACCCACAAAAATTACCAAACTTCTTTGGTTTCTTCATCAGGTGATAATGGTACAGAAATTATGCCATGTTCCAAATCTATGCCATGTTCCAAATTGTTTAGTTTGATATAGAAAGAATATTTAAGTAGACAGAAATTTCAATCCCCTGCCCTCATCCATGCACAAAAAATAATCGGAAAAAAGACAAAAAGAATTCAACAACACCACTTCTCACTCCCAGCATGATTTCTGTACCCTTTTCACTTGTGGGTTTCAAGAACTCACATTATTTGGGAAGGTGTGTACCTCCTGGTTGTCCCAATAAAGGCATCACTTTTACTATAATTTTGTTATATTATCATATACCTACCTTTGCATTTTTACATGTTCTTCTAATGAGTAATGGGGTGGGGGTTACTTATTTTCTTGCCTAAATGTTTGTGTAGAGAAAGAGCAACCAAAATACCCAAGGTACACTTGGGCTTAAAGTAGCAGATGGGTCCCTCTATGAACTGGCAAGGACAACAGGGTTGCTGGCAGGGAATCCCACATGGGAGACAGTCATGCGCATCCCCAGTAAAGGCTGAAAGCCAGGATTTCTGGGTTCCCTAACAATGAATGGAAAGAGGGATTAGTAAACCAGGTTTTAAAATAATTTCAGAGATAATGAGGTATCTTTGAGGAGGTGAGGGTAGAAGGACAAAGGAACAAAGTGTCTTGGGATGTTTTTCAGACTTACCGGAGATGCATCTCATTCAGGTTGACACAACTTTAACTGCTATGATTCAATGTTATGAATATGGGATATGCTATGGAGTACTTATACAATCCCTTGTTGTCTGAGTATGATGGTCTTCCAAGTGTAGTGTCTTGGTGGTGGATATGGAGGTGACTATAGAGCCCTATTCTTGACCCACATGTCCTTCCACAATGAGGACATCGGTTTCCAGGTGGAAAGTGGTCCTTTAGCTTTCTCTATCAAAGAGGACTGGTGCCTAAGCAAACTACAACAACCAAGATTTTATAGCATTGAGCCACAGCCAATAAAGTAATATCAAGCAACATAAATTCTACATTGTAGATGCACCCTGAGATGAAGAAATGACCGCTAGAGGAAACCACACTGGTGTGTCTTCACCAGGCATGGGTGAACTTTGCTCCTCCAGGTGTTATGGACTTCAGTTCCCACAATTCCTAACAGCTTACCTTTTTTAATTATTATTATTAAACTTTATTTGTACCCCGCTAGCATCTCCCGAAGGACTCGATGCGGCTTACATAGGCCAAGGCCTCAAACAACAACAACAGGCAATAACAATACAATGCAAGCAAATTAAAAACATAAGCAATAACAAAAACAAAACTTTACACTATTACGCAATAAAACCAGGGCCGGGCCAATGAAGGGTACAGGTTAAAAAAGTGCAGAGTCTTAAGCTCTAATAAAGTGCTTCTGGGACATAAGGTTATCCTATTCTGGAAAGGCACATCGGAATAGCCAGGTCTTCAAGTTCTTCCTAAAGACTGCCAACGTGGGTGCTAGTCTAATGTCTTTGGGGAAGGTGTTCCAAAGTCGGGGGGCAACTACAGAGAAGGCCCTGTCCCTCATCCCCACCAAACGAGCCTGCAACGCAGGTGGAATCACGAGCAGGGCCTCTCCGGATGAACGGAGGGAGCGCGTGGGTTCGTATACGGAGATGCGGTCACGCAGGTCCCAAACTGTTTACCTCATAATCATAGCTTCTGCAGTTGGATGAAATGGGAAGCAGTGGTTAATTGAAAACTTCTAGTATTGTTGCACTGTGCCCAGAAG